AAAAGAATTTAATTTTTCACTCGATTTTTGCACTTGGTGCACCTTATTTATATTTAAGTTATATAATCAGTGTTTATTTAACAATTTAGATGATCTTCTAATGAGCGAATCAGTTCTAAATGGATCAAAAAACATGCTCTCAAGCACAAATAAAAAACCTTAAACAAATGACAATTGATTAGACTTTGAAAATTCAGTAAAAATATGTATTGTTGGCATCAAAATATGATGCATCATAATGTTTTTTGATTGTCTCGAGAACAGAACCAGCTAGAAATTTGTGTTTTGGATCAGTCGCAAAAAGGAATATGGAAGAAGTATGTGAAGATCTTGACATTGGTCAAGGTAGTCAATTTAGCTCTAGGTTTAACTCAATCTTACAAAGAAAATCTGTTAACTAATTATAAGTTTCAATATAGCTGATCAATATCGACGATATTTTTTTAGACCATTCTCGCAAAGTCGACTTTTCTGTGTCATTCCATTCAAAAGTTATAAGCGTTTTAATAGAGGTTTCAAGATCACTCAACTGACCACTGACCGATCTAAACTTCCAACTCAACTGAATCTAATGACAATGCTTATTATTTTAGTTTTAAATTTATTTGACTTCGGAAGAATAAGACCTAAAAAATATTTTTTTTTCCGACGTTAAACACTTCGTATAGACCAATTAAGGAAAATCGTAATTCAGCATTCAATGATAATCTTGGAATCCAAAATAAGTATTACCGTTCGACTCAAGTTAGTCGAATATTTAGAAGTCAAGACTGTTTAGATGGACTAGTGTGTAATCGATTAATTTCAAGAGTTACAGTAAAACGCTTATAACTATTGAATGAAATAAGCAAGAGAAATCTGCTTTATGCAGATTGACAAAGACATGTCGTTGATATTGATCAGATAAATCGAAATTATAATTATTTAAAATTTCTCTTAAGATCTACGATAAAACTCACTAACTTCACTAATGTCATAGTCGAAATGATTTAATAGAATTTTACATACTTTTTCCACATTTCATTTTCTAATGGTAAAAGACATAGATTTTTAGCTGATTAAGTTATCGAAATATTTAGAATACATTGAGTACTTGATATTTTTGGAATCAATGATAGTTGATTCTATTATTTGCACGAATCGCATATTGAATATCATTTATACAAACAGAAAAACTGAAGAATAGAAAATATTTTATTCTATTTTATTTTAAGAGAAGTTCCATTCGACTTGCTTGCTAACATAGACAAGATAGATGCATACAAAAGTACTTCTTACTCTCTCTCACTGTCTCCGCTCTCCCTTTTTTCAAGATATACTTCTCATAGTCACTTCTTTTCTACATCGAGAATTTAATCATGAACATCTAAAAAAAAAAGGAAGAAAACTCATAATTGCTTTAATAGCTTTAGCAATCGTATTTTTCTTTTATTTAACAAAAAATAATACATGATGAATAGAAGTCTCAACATTCGAGAACCTTCTGTCATCTATCTACAGACCAGTTTTCTTCTACTAGGAATCATGCAAATTATCAATATTCTTATAAGCTCAATCCTTATATTAACTATTATTTTTCATCGTACACTTCGTACAATACCCAATTTATTAGCGGCTAATTCTAGTTTAGCCATATTTATCTATGCTTTAACTACTATTGCTCAAATTATCGTTGGATTACAATCAAGAGATAAAGGAAAAGAAGATTTATGTATATTTCTATCTTATTTTACAACCATAGCATTAGATCTAATCTGTTATTCTTATCTAGTCACTGCCATAAGTCAATATTTTTTTAATATTTTATATCGTCAAAAATACTTGTTAACGTTTCTTAGTCATTGGTTCATTATTATTTTTAGTTGGTTTATCAGTTGTCTTCTTCCACTTTTTCTATATCTTCCTGGTAAGTATGTAAGTTTTCTTAAAGAAGACTATAGATATTCAGTTATTTATAGGTGCACTTCAATATTCACCTGAAATGCATATGTGTTGCTTGAAAATATCTTTTCAGGGAATTCTATTTGTTTACATGGGTACCGCTCTTGGCATACCTTTCTTTGGCATTGTTACTATATATCTATATATTACAAATCGTACACGACGCATACATATCATGACTATTGCAATCACAACTTCATTATCAACGGCAAATAGAGATTTACGTGTACTTAAAAAAATACTTACATTAATCGGTATTCTGGGTACAGCTGGTTTGCCAAATATTGTTCTTATCATTTGGAATGCTTTTTCATTGGATGGAGCACCTGTTTCACTCTATCTTATATGTGCTCTTACGATTAGTTTTTGTACGAACATACAAATTTCATTTATTTTTTCAATGAATAAGAATGTAAGAGTTATTTTCTGGAATTATGTACAACGTATATTATATTAATTTTGTTTAAATGTAAAAAAATTATTTGACACACACTATTATAATAAAAGGAAAGAACTTTACAAATAATTTAGAAGTTTAGTAGAGAAATATATTCGAATGAAACGAAGAATACAATTCTAAAATAGTATATTTGACTTTTTGTAACCAGACTGATCAGTTCGAATCGATTGCAAAAAAAAATTTAAAAGGTTTGGACGTATGACTTAGCACATACCAAAAATAATGAAATTTTGAAGAAAAACATGTGCAGAAATAAGTTATTCAAGATTTTATTTCATCGAATGTTCGAAGTAATTGCTTTTGGTTATTGACGGACAATTACATAAGCTCAAGCAATTTATCGAGATTCTATTTTATAGTTATTTATATTGAACGAGCTCATGTTCTTGATTACAGTAAGGTGCAAGGATTGTGCGTTATTTTGATCTGTTAGATTCTGTTTAATCAGATTGAATCACTAAAAATGAGATGGCATCAGTTCTGAAGAATTCGGTTCCTGTCGAATAATTTTAATATCTTTCGATTTGAGATAGTTCGAAACAGCTTTTATGAACATACGGTTTGATATCTATTTCAGATGCTAGTCGTTTTATCCGGATATTGTCAATGGAGAAATCCAGGCAATTATCAGTATAATAGCAGTTGTTAATGGTTTGTCCTTGTTCAATATGATGTTTTAACACAAAACTAATCGTTTTAAAAAGGATACAAAACAGGATTTTTGGAGTAAAGTGGCTGCGTTGAACTACACTAAACGAAGTTCCATTAATTCGCAGAATTTTTTCTTTGATGTGATCCTTCAAAGTTTGTCAGAAGGAATAATAACATATTTCTCGACTGAAATTAATAATTTCCGTCACAGCTGCACAAAAAACTTTTAGATAAAGTGTAATGACTCTATACATTCGGTTTGTTGACAATAATGATACAGATGCTCATTTTTATTGCTTTTCATTCTTCAACTTTAAATTAAAATCTGAAAAGTACAAAGCACATAGAGAGTTAAGTTTCTTTCCCCTCTCAATTATTGGAATTAAGATAAATACACAGGAAAATGACTTGGTCTTTTAAAAATGATATTATTCTTATTTGACATCTCCTTAATAAATATATTGGTTTTTAGAAAATCCGATAAATATTCTTCTTTTAATCGTAGATCTCAAAATTCTCGAAAGAGCGTCATTGAAATAGTATGTCAAGATGTAGGACCTGACAAAGTCCTTTCTCTTTGAATTAAGTTTTATTACTATTATGAAAAAATGGCTTTTTTTTTTATAACTAACACAACATTTTCCGAGAGTTTTCAAGACATTAAACTTTTCACTTTTTAAAAAGTAAGAACTTAAGTAAACTTTCTGTCATGTATTGCATCCTGGTATGCCACTTTTCTCCTTGCATATTTCCTGAAAACCTCATTGTATAGAACTACAAATCTCATAATATCTTGAAATTTGCTTGCAATTTAAATGTCTCTGATTCAATAACGTTTTTTGAGGTGAAAATGATGGTAGTTTAAATATAGTGACATGCATCCTGTTTGATTAATTGAGTTTCATGAAAGAACGTAAAAGAAATGGTAAACTAATTATATAAGTAGCAAATTTTAATAACCCGTATTTTTCTTAAATATATTATTCAACTGAATATAAACATAAAAATTATAATTTCTCATTTTATTTACTCTAGAGATTATTCATTAAACATAAAGGGAATATATTAGCAGAAGCAAGAATTTTCAAAGGAATAGAAAGATATTATCAAGGACAGACACATAATAATATATCGATAGCAATACGATAATAAAAAAAAAGTACTAGATTTAGCAGAAAACTCTCAAAGGAAATAAAAAGGAAAACAATTATAAGTTTGATTGCAACAAATGTATCTCATTGAATTCACCATTTGAAAAAATACTACTAGTGAACATGCTTTGTATGTATTGCACGATAAAATATATATTGTCGTTCTCTTACTTTTCAATTATGATCTTTACTATTTATTAATCGATCGTTTCAATGATAAAAAATACCGATACATCACAAATAGATCCATTCTGATTGCTCAACAAGTCATATTTTAAGACTTGTTAGATACACAATCAATTCTTTTCTTTCATTCAGCGATTGAGATGTGGACTTTAAAACTCTTAACATAGTTTTTAAAAATGATCTTCAAAATACTCTTAATCAAAATTTCTATTTCTATTCCGATTAGTAAGATTATGTATAATTAGATGAATTCTAATAAACATGTTATCATTATGTTTATGGAATGAGTTTTTTTTTGTCTATTAATAGAAGTTATCTTTACGAGATAGTATAAGTGACTGGTATAAATTTATTTGTATATTATTTTTTATTTGGTAAGTATATTCAAAAAAATTTTCGAATCCGACAAGAAAACAGAAAAGTTGATAAATTAAATTGTTTATCTGTTTTAACTTTATGTTCGCAGTTTTACAACGACAATAATAGTAACAATAATAGCTACAATAATAAGAAATGGTATCCAAGAACGAAGAAAACCAACAAAACTATTTAAAAAAAAAAATGAAAAATAAATAAATATTTATATTTAAATACCTGACGAATTTTCCACAGAAGAACATCCAACATGCAAGTGAAATCATATTATATGTATGTTTTCGATCATAACTCATTGTATTTAATGCCAAAGCTACATGTGAATGACAATTATCACAACATAAATTATGCTAAACCAAAAAAATTCACCAAAGAAAAAAAGAAATCTAATAAATTACCATGCGTTTTTTATATTCATCAGATGCTTGTTCAACAGCTTTATCCCAAATAGTTCGTACATTACTTGTATTAGTAGTTGTTGAAACACGATTTAAATCAAGTTGAAGATATCGTGTTGGTAAACCAAAAGCCATATCATCTTCCTGTATATATTTAATTTATTATATTCATATTAAAAAACAAAAAACATAAACAAGTTTTATTACTGCTACTAACTGAAACATAATAAGGTCCAGCAAAATCTCGAATGACACCATCTGTACGAGCTATACCCATATGACCAACAATTGGAAAAAGCCAAGATAGAATTGGTATTGGTGTCCAAACAATACAATGAGGATATCGAACACGAGCAACATCAATTCGATCATTTAAATTATTCGATAAAAAACCATTGTCAACCATTTGAATTTGTTTTGATTTTAAAGAATCTTCAATAGGTATTATAGTTGTCGTTGCTTTATTTTGTTCACCAGGTACTATGCTCATCGACAATATTATAGAGAAAAAGAAAAAGTTTTTCTTCTACAAACTAAGAGAAAGCTTTTATTTGAGAATTTTACATATCTGATTATGTCTTGTCATACAATTCAATTTATTGACTCATGTAACACTCCATTCAATTTATCTCAGTCAATGCGTCATAGAATAGTAAATAAAAAGATGTCGCTGATAAGCAGTTCAGCATTATAAAAAAAAATAATCCCATGTCGTCAAAATTAGTTCAGTTTTGACTATATATTGCGATCATTGAACAAACTAGCAATTAATCAATACTTTTTCAACATGAAACCAAAACTTACAACTAGATTCGATCGATCGTAAATGTAACTATGAAAAATCTGAGTTTTCAATAGCAATCAGAAAAAAATGCTTCATTAATTCAACACATGTGATTCAAACTAACGTTCACTACCTGTGATACCTTGACTTTTTTTTTCAATTGCTTCATAGTCTATCAATACATAATAGCTTCTAGAGATTCATTAACACTATCGTTAAATTTTTGACTTTTCCACATTTTACATAAAAAATTTGTTCGAAAAAAAAAACTCGCTCATTAACACTTTTTACGATGCTTTTTCCACTAAGTAATAGATGTTTGTAAAATAGAATCATGAGAAAATAGGCCTTATAATAATAATAAAAAATCACTAGTGATACTCATCAGTATCGCATCAACCATATTGTACATTTTCGAACATATAAAGTAAAAATTGATTTTGATTATATTCTGAATCAATAATATACTTGATTATGATAATATGATAGTTCTTAGTTCTCTAAGAGATTTTGAAGTTATTTAAAAAGAAAATATTCAGATCAATGTTCTATTAATAAAAAATTAAATTTCTTTTTTAAGTTTATTGAGATATTGCTGTCGTTTTTCCACTTCGGGATGTGAAGATCCATATGCATCAATGGCGATACTAACAGCTTTCTCAGCATGTTGAATAGCTTCTTCATATCGATGAAGATCTTCTAATGCTATCGCCAATTTTCCATGAGTGACAACTAACGATAAATGATTAGATGGTAAAGATTTTTGTTGAATTTCAAGTGTTTTGTGATAGAATGATAATGCAGTTGAACAATCACCCATTTTTCGATGTATTAAACCAATATTACTATAAGTACTTGCTAATGATGGATGATGAGGTGGAAGATGAGAAAGTTTGATTTCTAATGCTTGTTCATAACTTTTGAGTGCTTCAGCATATTTACCTTGGTCATCAAGTACAGAACCAATATTATTGTGATCAATAGCAATTTCTAATTGATTAGGTTTTCGAGCAGCCAGATCGATCTTAAGAACAAGTTCATAGAATTTCAATGCTCTATTCAAATCACCTAGTTTTTTAAGAATTCCACCAATATTCGAATATGTACTAGAGAGTCGAGGATCAATATCCGACATATAATTTCGACTAATGTTAATAGATTCTTCATAATGATAAAATGCTTTTTCTAATTCACCTTTTTGTTTCCGAATATATCCTAATTGATTATGAAGAAAGGCCGTTTCTGCTTTATCATTAGGATCAACAGTTTTGAGTAATATTTCATAAATCTCTAAAGCTTTATCAAATTGACCCATCTTCATCATTAATTGACCTAGTCGACGTGTTCCACTTCCATCACCGAGTGAAATTCTCAAATGATCAGTAAGACGTTTAAGTAATGGATCTTTATCATTTGTCAACGTCAATTTAACTTTCCATAGACGTTCATCAT